GAAATCACATGTAAATCAGAATAAAACAGAAATGACAATAATCGTTCGATTGTGCAGCACTGGTGTGATTGAGCAAAAAAAATCCATTATACGACTAGGTACATTGAGCAGTGCATACACGCGGTGCAGTGTGAATTTGAAATGAATGAGTTTGAGACTTGTATTGTTATGAACACATTTTCGACAGACTTCAATTGGAGAACGACTGAAAATTGATTTTTTTTTTTGCAAAATTTAAACTTGTTCAAACGATTCTTTGTTCACTTTTTAATAGAAACACAAATTTGAAAATAAAAAAAATGTTCAAAAAAAATGCACGTGGTTTTTATGCACAAAAAAAAACACAAATTTAAGAGGAAAAAAAATCACAAGCAATAAAAAATTGAGTCGTTGTTGAATAATTTCAAAACTGATCGATTTCTTACCGAAACTAAACGGCTGTATGTTTCTTGATAAATGCACGATGTCAAGTGTACTGTTTAAACGTTCCAAAGTAAATGTTAAACCACACTGTCTGTCGTTTGCAACCCAGAAAATGTGGATGCTTTGATTGGTACATACACAAACACTCAAACAATTTCTGTATCAGGCGACACGTTAGTATGTATGCGCATATTCGCTATACTTGGCTGCTACAAATACATTCAAGTGCTGTTTCGCAGTCGATTACTGTTCGTAATATGAATTCTCTTAGTGCATAAAAAAACCACCTCGCCGGCGAGATCGACAAAATTCAATATTAACGGTATTGTTTGGAGGGAGAGTGTATCGCATTTCTTCTGTGACACTTTCAGAGGAGGAGAACATGTGCTTGTTACGTGTCTGAGATGTGTTGAATAAAACTGATTGCATGTTTTTCCTTACCAAATTAAAAATTCATAATATTTGCACATGCATAGAGCTGATTGTAACCAAATTTTGGTTTGTGTTGGACAACAAGAAACATTATTGTTGTTGCGAAAAGAAACAATGAGTCTTTTCTTTTTTTTTTAAATTTTATGTTCTCTGATGCACACAATCACGAACAACACAGTGGCGGCAATAATAAGCATCGCAATCGTGAAGCAATAAATGCAAACACAAAGGCATATTTTGATGGCAAAGCGAATATCATATTATAACGTTGTGTGGAGTCATTCGAAAGGGAAAAATGCGCGTCATTCGATAAATGACATGATAAATGACATTTCTTTAAAATAAAATTTTCTGTTTTTATTTTAATTTTGGAGCTTGATGAGGAGATCTCATAAAGGATTTATTTTTGTTTTCAAGACAAATGAGTTCATTGCCAACGAATCTATTCAAACGCATTGTGTAATGAATTTAATACTTACCCACCAAGACAATACATGCACAATAACCTTATTTGAGGTTGTATTTTCTCTGAAAAAAAAACGGCAAACTGAAAAAGAAATGGCGTACAAAATAATAAATTGTTCATTGAAGTTTGAATTTGACAACTTTATTGAAATTTTTCTATTCGTACATGATTTGTTTTTGTTTTTCCTCCAAAATGCGAATCAAGACGGATCAAGATATGATGTATACTTCTATGAAAGGTCGCTTTAAATTGCGTCGTCTACTTGCATCATGTGCTTTGCGTCATTCTACAAACATAAACTCCGACGGTTATATTAAATGGATCAACACAAAATTAGAAAAAAAACTAAGAATCTTGATTGCTTTTCATCTTAAAAATGCATTACTATTCATAGTTCTATTCCCCTTTCCATACACATTTATATTGGTTGTTTATTTAATACCTGAGTTAAAAGAGTAGGAAATTTGATTAAAGAGAATATTGCCAATAAAAAATCCAATTATTCCATTACAGAATTCGTCTAATTAGAATGATAGATAAAATATACCTAATGGTTGTTTAATGCCAATACGACTTCAGTAACGCGTATTAGAACAATTCACGCTTTGTGTATACTCGGCACATCATCGCTGCTTTACGGAATATCAGCCGTTGAGTTCACTGCGAACTGTTGTGCACCTAATGCATGTGTTTGCTCACAGCTATACACAGTCAAAGAAAGTTCGCACAAAAGAGAATGAAACATTTACATATGGCTACTTGATGTTTTTTGACCATGTCGCAGTGAATTCTACTGCTGATATTCGCCTAAGCAGCGAAGATGTGCCGAGTGTACACGAAGCGTGAATTCTTCTAATACGGATAGTAAAAGTCGTAATGGCTTTAAACATATATACACATTTTCGAACAGAAACAGTTATATAGATCAAACGATGCTCTTATTTGTATTTTTTTTTTTGTTAAATTATTCTATAACATTATATAGAAGAGTCAGAACACATATCGAACACGAAATTATTGTTTGTGAAAATAGATATTTTAAAGATATTTTAGTTGAATATATTTGCTTTGATATAATTTGTGCTACCTAAAATTCAATTCCCATCCTAATCTAAAATTGAATTTGCAATTAAAGTAACTAGATTCCTTATTTTTTTTTAATAATTAGCTAGAATTGAAACAATTGATACAGTTGCTTGTCATTTCTTTCATTAATCGCAACTTATTTCGTACAGTAGCTTAACTGGTTAGCAAGAATACCTACCTTGTTCAATTGCGAAATGTAGCGGCGCACTTAGATGATCATCTTTTTCGTTTATATCTGCACCATTTTCAATAAGGGCCCTTGCAGCTGTTTCATTTCCTTGCATAATGAATGATACAACTAGTTTTAACTTGATGAATAGTTCAGCCAAAGTAACAAAATTTCATCACTTACTGGCACGAATGGCATCGTGCAATGCAGTTCTTCGAACTCTGCTAGATCTTTGAAAAGGATGAATACAATGGAAATTCTATAAATTTGCTTATTTGTTTAAAAATAGTTCCATTTGGTTCTTGTAATCTTTCTGATTCAACTTACTGTTCTTGCTGTTCTGAAACAGAAATGATTAATATAATCACAACTATCACAACGATTTTCATTTTGTTATTAGCTTCAAAGGGACCTCTGATATGAAAAACTAATAACAACTTTCGAATAAATAAATCAATGAAATTCAACAGCATTGAATCAAAACAAAAAGCAAAAATTATTTTGTATTTTTCACTTCAATTTTTTGTAAAACACCAAACGCACACACCGCCTAATTAAACGCAAATAAAATCCAGATCTTGTGGTAAGCTAAAAATCTTGAATCGACAACAGACTTGTTTTTACAGCAGCATTGGTGGCGCAACATTTTCTTGAAGAAAAAAATTGACACATTACATTGAGTTAAAATTATTTATTTTGAACGATCTTTGCACCTTTGGTTCTTCTTTTTCAGACAGATCCCCAATCATTTTTTTATATTGCGTTTTCTACATTGATTCAATCATAGAAAAAATAATTTACAAATATTGCTGCAACGAAACCGTTTAATCATCACTATTATTATTATAAAAATAGTGGTTGTAATAGTAATAAATAGTAATAGTTTTGATTTTTTCTGAGTCGAATGTATACAGATCAACTGTTTTTTTTTTAATTTCTTTATTCAAAATGGGTGTTGATGTTAACATTCATTGTTTCGGTGAATATTGTAACCTAATAAGCAAATAAATCAATTTTGGTGTAGAAAGTGTTGTGCTTGAGAAGGTTTTTTGCTGAATGTGCTCATTCTATTAGCATATTTGCGGACATCATTAGATTCCTTCGACGGTATGATAGATCATCATGGTGACACTGTAAATCCGTCCAAAAATCTGTGAATTTTTTAGATTATTAAGTGTATAACTTAAAAATTGACGGTAAAATTCGCCATTGATTGAACTTTCTGTTCATAATTTAAAAAAAAATCAAACATTAAATTGAATATATACTTTTACGCAAGAGTTCAAATTCAATGGAATAAATCCCCCAATGGTTAGTAATTGTGGAGTTTGACATCGACGAATGAAAAATCGATAAAAACACTGATCCCGAATATCAAACTCATCCCAATTTAAATGTATTGCAGAATCATAGATGCGACTATGCTGAAAGTGAAAGAAGGCTTATTACACATCTTCGGTAGATATCGTGCACATTAGCTATGCAATTAGGTTGACTTCGTTTAAATGAATACATACAGTTAGTTCAACGCAGTTTCCCAGCATACAAGCAATAAATATTTGATTCAACAGTAGTATAATTGAACCATAAATAGGCATATAATGAGTCTTCAAAACAAAAAATGGAACATTTCAGCAAAACGAATCGAAAATTAAAACCACAAAAGGAAAACAAAAAAGAAACTACCGTCAAAATAGCGTAAAAGCAGACAATAGCACCACAAAAGCTTGTTGAAATCTCCGCAAAAATCGTTAGAAAAGAGATTTTATCAATACGTTGCATGTACCTGAAAAGGTTAACACTGATGAAATATTTCCATTAAAAAAAAATTAATAGGATTCGCATACTCATCCATCTCTTGATGCATTAAAAAAACGTTTATTAATCGTGACTTCACTTTGATTCTCGAGCCACCTTCTCTCAAATCGATGTTGATTTGTTCCAAATCACTTGAGATCAATTTGGCAAAAATCAACGAGCTTATTATAAGGATTGCGGACAGAAATTCGAGAGCAGCAAAACCAACTAAAGCCACTAAATCAAGACAACTATCGTACACATTTAGCAAAACAAAGCCAATCAATGTAGTCTCATCAAATAGAGGAAAGTAAAGCAGAATCGAAGGTAAAAGCTTTCCTTCAATATAGTAGTAGTAAAATGGAGATAAGAGAAATGCGACACAGACTAGAGCAAAAGTAATTGTCATTGCTTTGAAAAAAAATTCAGTAAAATAGGCAAATTTATCGAAGTACTCCTTGCGTTCACGTGATTTAGTTTTTTCGTTGATTTTATACAAGTCTTGAATAAAGCAGATTGCCCAGTGAAAATCTTCGGCATGTCGTGCATTGTATATTCTCATTAAACCCTGTATATAAACCTATGTTAATAAAACCGAAACGGGCATCTTGAAGTATATAAAGAAAACACATACCTGCGTACCGAACAAAAACCACAATATTGAAAGTATTTTTATATATCCGTCATAGTACAAAAAGGTGTAGATTTCAGAAATGTACGAAGAGAGAGTCAATCCATATACGAAAAAGGTAATTAAATTTGGTTTGTAATCTTTCGCAATAATATCCTGACCAACAAACTGCAAAAGCGATCGGTTCCATTGAAAAATGCATCTCTGAAATCGTGAATGCGCATCCATTTTCGATCGCTCTTTTGCAAACGGATGAAAAAAAATTTGAATCACATTTTTAAAAACATACAAACTATACTCAGGGCTTTCAGATTTGAAATCAAATGATTTGTAAAATCAACAAATCATGATTTTGGATGGTCGTGTGTATTTTAAATCAAATGAAATGATTTAATTGTGTCCGTAAGAATAAATATGGCAATACAAAAACGGAATCTAAAGAACGTTACATTATTTTTTTTGTATGGAGTTGTACTGTGTAAAAAAAAATTATCTAACGTTCTTCAGATTCCGTTTTTGTATTGCCATATTTATTCTTACGGACACAATTGATTTGACTTTTTATTTTGATTTGAAAAAAGTTAAATCAAATCCATCAATGATTTAATATTTGAAACATCATTTGTTACATTCATTTTTTTACATTTATCTATACTCATACTCACCCTGTTTTCGAAATTACCAACGTTTTATAATTCAAATATTTTTTTTTGGTAAAACGTTAGCTTGGTTCAAATACCAGTCAACAACTGAAAGATTTTAATAATGCGAGTTTATATTTAATGAAAATTCAGTAAAAAGTCAGTTGCAATTGATCACGTTAAATGGCTTTTACATTGAAAAACACACCTGGTTTTCAATATCCGGGGAAATGTGATTCTCATAATTATTTATATTGAGCTTCTCAATTATTCAATGCTGTATGTTTACAGGAGACGAATATAATTTCTGGACATTTTCTTCGATATTCGAAGAACAATGAGTGGAATATTATATTTGACCTTCTTATCGATATGCAAGCTTACTTCTACATATTTAAATGGTTTACAATTGCTCATTTTTTTAAAAAATAAATATATATTTGCTACTCATATTTTGCGTTGCATTTTTTAAAATATGCTCCATATAGCCGAAGTCATGCTGTACATACATTTCGGAATTTTCATTTGATCAACTGTTGACTGATACCTTGATTTCAAATGGATATAGAAGTAGATTTTTTATTAAAAATTGATACGATCTTTTTCGTTTATATCTGCACCATTTTCAATAAGGGCCCTTGCAGCTGTTTCATTTCCTTGCATAATGAATGATACAACTAGCTTTAACTTGATGAATAGTTCAGCCAAAGTAACAAAATTTCATCACTTCCTTGCACGAATGGCATCGTGCAATGCAGTTCTTCGAACTCTGCTAGATCTTTGAAAAGGATGAATACAATGGAAATTCTATAAATTTGCTTATTTGTTTAAAAAAAGTTTCATTTGGTTCTTGTGATCTTTCTGATTCAACTTACCCGTGTAGTATACGGGCGCTAAATGGAAGTCGCAGGCGCTCTTATTTGCGCTTTGGAAGAGGAATGACCGAGAGCGCAAAATATTTTGTCGCGCTATCGAGGATTCCTCTTTAAACATTTTCGCATAAAGACACAGCAACCGAATATGAGTTATGTATACAGTACATACAGTCCACAGAGTCGCTCAATATCATAGCACACTATGCACATTGTGCATACTATTCATATTGTGTGCTATGCTAGTAAGTGACTCTGTCGACTGTATGTACTGTATGCAAAACTCATATTCTGTTGCTATGTCTTTATGCGAAAATGTTTAAAGAGGAATCTCCGATAGCGCGAATAAGAGTGCCTGCGACTTCAAATTAGCGCCCGTATACTACACGGGTACTGTTCTTGCTGTTCTGAAACTGAAATGGTTAATATAATATAAGCTGAGCCAATCAATCAAAAATTAAATTCTCTATACGTTTACCTGCATGATCGTGTGAATAAAATGAAATCACCACAACTATCACAACGATATTCACTTTGTTATTAGCTTCAAAAGGACCATTGATACTAAAAACTAATAACAACTTTCGAATGAATAAATCAATGAAATTCAACATCATTGAATCAACACAAAAAGCATTAAAAAATTATTTTGTATTTTTCACTTGAATTTTTTGTAAAACACCAAGCGCACACACGCCTTTAAACGAAAATAAAATCCCAATCTTGTGGTAAGGCCGTCGTGCGACTGATCAAAAGGATAATAGAGCTGCGAACATATAATACAAAAAATATATAAAGCGTACCTTGCTTCAAATAATATGAACTTGAATCGACAACAGACTTGTTTTTACAGCAGCATTGGTGGCACAACATTTTCTTGAAGAAAAAAATTGACACATTACATTGAGTTAAAATTATTTATTTTGAACGATCTTTGCACCTTTGGTTCTTCTTTTTCAGACAGATCCCCAATCATTTTTTTATATTGCGTTTTCTACATTGATGCAATCATAGAAAAAATAATTTACAAATATTGCTGCAACGAAACCGCTTGATCACCAATAGTGGTCGTAATAGTAAATAGTAATAGTTTTGATTTTTTCTGAGTCGAATGTATAAAGATCAACTGTTTTTTTTTTAATTTTGAATATTAGATCTGATTTCTTTATTCAAAATGGGTGTTGGTGTTAACATTCATTGTTTTGGTGAGTATAGTAACCTAATAAGCAAATAAATCATTTATGGTGTAGAAAGTGTTGTGCTTGAGGCGGTTTTTTGCTGAATATGCTCATTCTATTTGCTATTAGCATATTTGCGAACATCATAATTATTAGGTTCCTTCAACGGTATGATAGATCATCATGGTGACACTGTAAATCCGTCCAAAAATCTGTGAAATTTTTTAATTAGATTATTAAGTGTGTAACTTAAAAATTGACGGTAAAATTTTCCATTGATTAAACTTTCTGGACATAATAAAAAAAATCAAACATTTAATTGAATATATACTTTTACGCAAGAGTTCAAATTCAATGGAATAATTCCCCCAATAGTTAGTAATCGTGGAGTTTGACATCGACGAATGAAAAATCGATAGAAACACTGATCCCGAATATCAAACTCATCCCAATTTAAATGTATTGCAGAATCATAGATGCGACTATGCTGAAAGTGAAAGAAGCCTTATTACACATCTTCGGTAGATATCGTGCACATTAGCTATGCAATTAGGTTGAGTTCGTTTAACCCTCCGTTTAGCGCTAGGGTCTGGCTAGACCTTTTTCAATTTCAATTTTATTTTAAAAATATTTCCAAATTTGGTATCTACTCAAAATTTCATGACTTCTCCTAGAATTTTATTGATAACATTTTAGAAAAAAAAAATCAGGACAAAAAACTCATAAAACAAGGACACCTCAATGTACATATCACATAAATAGCGCTTGCGTATGGCCAGTCCCACATACATTTTATATGAAAAGTGACGCAATTTATAATCTCTTACCAGTAAAAATCACCGGATTTGCAAAAATTTTTGTTTCAAGATACTGCATGTGGTAGAGGGGTCCAAGATATGACATTTGGGACAAAACAAAAGTTCCCCAGATTGATATGGGACTAGATATGACCCTTGGTATCATCTTGAAACAAAAATTTTTGCAAATCCGGGGATTTTTACTGGTAAGAGATTATAAATTGCGTCACTTTTCATATAAAATGTATGTGGGTCTGGCCCATGGCCTGGAAATGCCTATGTAATTTACATATAAACGAGTGAGACTCAAACATGTTCTTCTTTTTCCATCAAATATACCAGTGGCGCCACCAATTTTACATATAAGCGCATACAAAATTTTCAATATGGCTGCGCCCATGAGAGAGAAAATTTCGTCTCATTCATTTCCGCCCCATGGTCTGGCCAGTCCCAAGCGCTACGCATATGACAACAGAAAGTAGAGCTAAACGGAGGATTAAATGAATACATACAGCTAGTTCAACGCAGTTTCCCAGCAAACAAGCAATAAATATTTGATTCAACAATAGTATGAATGAACCATAAATAGGCATATAATGAGTCTTCAAAACAAAAAAATGGAACATTTCAGCAAAACGAATCGAAAATTAAAACCACAAAAGGAAAACAAATAAGAAATTACCGTCAAAATAGCGTAAAAGCAGACAATAGCACCACAAAAGCTTGTTGAAATCTCCGCAAAAATCGTTAGAAATGAGATTTTATCAATACGTTGCATGTACCTGAAATAGTTAACACTGATGAAATATTTCCATTAAAAAAAATTTAGTAGGATTCGCATACTCATCCATCTCTTGATGCATTAAAAAAACGTTTATTAATCGTGACTTCACTTTGATTCTCGAGCCGACTTCTCTCAAATCGATGTTGATTTGTTCCAAATCACTTGAGATTAATTTGGCAAAAATCAACGAGCTTATTATGAGGATTGCAGACAGAAATTCGAGAGAAGCAAAACCAACTGAAGCCACTAAATCAAGTGATAGTTGGTACACATTTAGCAAAACAAAGCCAATCAATGTAGTCTCATCGAAACCAGGAAAGTAAAGTGGAACCGAAGGTAAAAGCTTTCCTTCAATATAGTAGTAGTAAAATGGAGATAAGAGAAATACGACACCGACTAAAGCAAAAGTAATTGTCATTGCTTTGAAAAAAAATTCAGTAAAATAGGCAAATTTATCGAAGTACTCCTTGCGTTCACGTGATTTAGTTTTGCCGTTGATTTTATACAAGTCTTGAATAAAGCAGATTGCCCAGTGAAAGTCTTCGGCATGTCGTGCATTGTATATTCTCATTAAACCCTGTATATAAACCTATGTTAATAAAACCGAAACGGGAATCTTGAAGTATATAAAGAAAACACATACCTGCGTACCGAACAAAAACCAAAATATTGAAAGTATTTTTATATATCCTTCATAGTACAAAAAGGTGTAGATTTCAGAAATATACGAAGAGAGAGTCAATCCATATACGAAAAAGGTAATTAAATTTGGTTTGTACTCTTTCGCAATAATATCCTGACCAACAAACTGCAGAAGCGATCGGTTCCATTGAAAAATGCATCTCTGAAATCGTGAATACGCATCCATTTTCGATCGCTCTTTTGCAAACGGATGAAAAAACAATTGAATAATATTTTTAAAAACATTCAAACCATATAACTATGTTTTCAAAATTACCTACGTTTTATAATTCAAATATTTTTTTGGTAAAACGTTAGCTTTGTTCAAATACCAGTCAACAACTGAAAGATTTTAATAATGCGAGTTTATATTTAATGAAAATTCAGTAAAAAGTCAGTTGCAATTGATCACGTTAAATGGCTTTTACATTGAAAAACACACCTGGTTTTCAATATCCGGGGAAATGTGATTCTCATAATTATTTATATTGAGCTTCTCAATTATTCAATGCTGTATGTTTACAGGAGACGAATATAATTTCTGGACATTTTCTTCGATATTCTGCAAGCTTATTTCTACATATTTAAATGGTTTACAATTGCTCATTTTTTTAAAAACATAAATATATATTTGCTACTCATATTTTGCGTTGCATTTTTTAAAATATGCTCCATATAGCCGAAGTCATGCTGTATATACATTTCGGAATTTTAATTTCATCAACTTTTGACTGATACCGTGGTTTCAAATGGATATAGCGGTAAATTTTTCATGGTAAATTTGATTTCATTTATAAATGAGCAACAATTCGAAGAACATTTGTAAATACAGTTGGTTGATATATTAAAAATTGCATAGTAAAAAAAAGGTAGACACAAACTCGAAAACTAGAAAAACTAGGAAAAATCAGGACTTATTAGGTCAGTAATGAAGAAGCAAAATTTCTCAGGGATTTCACATTTTTCTTCGGAAAATCCCTAGCAAATTGGAAGAATTTTTCTAAATTCCGGAAAACTTTAGCAAATTCGAATTCTCGTCTCCCTCTCCCCTCCGCGCATTACTATATTAGGTCATGTCAAATGTACACGTTATTTGCGATTTACTAAAAAAAATTAGGAAAAATTAGCAATATTAGAGCCCGTGCCTCTCTCTAGAAACTGGCTGTAATGAGTCGTCTATAAAACATAATGATTGACACGTCAGAACTGGTACAGAGACTTCGTGTGATCATGTGATCAAAATCTAAAACATCGTCGTTCGTTTACTGTGAGAAAATATAGAATCCAATAATAAAGAAATATATTTAGTTTCTCTGTAGTAATATCAATGTTTTATTCTGTTTCATTCGTTACATGATATAGAGTATTTTTTGAGCGCATATGCGGCGCCCTCACAGACCTTTTAAAATAAAATGTTTTTTATACACAAAAAAGAAATCATAACAATATCCATATGACAAAAGATTCGAAAGCCTGTTTTTACTTTCTTTTTCGACTATTTTGTTTTTGATTTTTGATAATGCTTACGCTAAGTATTAAATACATTCAAATCGTTTTGTATTTATTGATTTGCGTGTTTTAGTGTGTATGTGTTCGTATTTTATATGGATATAATTTTCTCTTTTTTTCTCGAATGAATTAAATATATGCATTTTTGTGCGAAACAAAAATAGTGATTCACATTTTAAAAAAAATTCACTAAAATTAAACTAAATAACTGAGTCAATACTATAACCGAAAATTGCATTGGAAAGGGGAAATGTGTGGAAATATTATGGTTGATTGTTGTTTTTTATTGAATGACTATCTATGACTTTGTTCGAAACAATTTGATACTCATTTCGATTTATTGTTGTTATTTTTATTTTTATTCAAACTACATTTGAATGTTGAGCAGCAGAGGTATGTCTATTGTAGACAAGCTTGAATCTTTTCAATCCATTCTTGTGCCATGCTCGCCTCGAGTGCGTAAAAATTATACGTTCGACGACTGGTTTTCAACTGAAAATTTAAAATAAAATGAAAAAATCGTTCAAATCTCAAATGTAAAAGCGTCACAGCTCAGAATCTAATCTTATTTGAAAAACCTACGTCGAAAAAGGCTCGTTCGTCAATTTTTTTCGTACCAACTTGCACGGGCGATGCGCTCGCTACCGATTGAACTTCAGCCAAATCTGTGGGCGGTAAAAAGACAATGTGACAATAATTGATTTTCGAAGTGAAAACATCTTATTAAAATATAAGTACCGATGAATCCTTTGCAGTTGGAGTCTTCCATTGCGTCGTAGTATCGTAGTTGATGTTTCATTGAATCAAGAACGAACCAACGCTGTTTCCACCCTTTCAGCAAAGCGCCTCGTTTATATAAATGTCTGAAATCGGATTAGACAATTGAATTTAGCTAAGCATATCGAAGAACACATTTTATTTTTAATATGCATACCCTTCGTGTGTTCGATGTTCGGGTACATTGCTGTCAAATTCGTTGAATAAGTGTTGATTCGATGTTTGTCCTGTATTTGCACTCGATGCAATGCTACCATTATCGCCTTGAGATCGTATCATTGCCGGTTGACCACTGTCGACCGCTTTATATTTCGTACAATTTTTCGGCACCGAATCTGCACATTTATCATGATATGAATTGCCTATAAAACAAAAATTTGAGCATTTTACTAAGTAAACCAAAACAAAAATTTGAATAACAAATGGAAAACCGAGCAAATTACCGCAATCCATGCATCTGTTGAAAAAAAAGGAAAATAAATTGAAATATAATGAATCTGTGTAATATAAAGTCTAATTTCAGGACACATACCGTAATCCAGTCCACATTGGGCCCCACAGTACGCCATCACAGTGAGTGCAATGTGTTGGTGTTGTGTATGAATGCTTTTCAAATCGATGAGGATGAGCGTATGTTTCTTGATGAATTCCGCCTCGGCCTCGCATTAAAATCTCCAACGTTGATCTCTTATGCAATAAACGACCATGTGACCGAACAATTGCACTGCTGAATGATGAATTCCGTGTCAACGAATCACTATGTGGCACTTCCAATTTATCCCAAATTTGTCGCCATTTTTGCGGCAGCAGTCCACGTTCACTTTCCGCTTGACGAAGCTCTTCCAGAAGCCGGGAAAAGATGTCAGGATCACACTTGGCCAAACTGTCATAGCCAGTGGCAACGACACGCCTTCGTCGTTGCTGTTGAGTCTTCGATGATAAATGTGATAGAGTATTACTGCTACTGCCATGATTTGAACTATTACCACCGGTTCGCATGCCAGACGATGAGAGGAAATCAATTTCTTCATCTTCGTGATTATCATTGCAAACTAATTCAAGGTCATAGGGTGGACCGTGTGCCAATTCTTCATCAATATAATACTGCCACAATTCAAGCATTGCCACCGAACTTTGGGGCCGTAAAATTGTATGATCTTGATCACCACTGTACATAAAATTGTAGAAAATTGGAAATTTTGCATGTTGTCGATCGATATAATCAAATACAGAGTAACCAATTTTTGCTGCTCCAACACCAGACGAACGAATTCCGCCCGGAAAAATGTCGTCATCTGATCCGGTGCCAGTTTCAACAACAACATGCTTTGAATTCAGCGAACCACGCTTATCTTCGATTTTTGCAATGCCCAAATCGAATTTTTCCAACTCACAATCAAATAAGAACGTTCGAAAACGACATGATACACTGTGATATGCCAAGAAACGCAGATAAAAATCATTAAATTCAAACGATAGTGGAAATTGTACTTGTATTTGATGAACAGCATCCAAAAATTGTAGAAAAACTGGAGCAAATTGTGAACCAGAACTACTGCTCGCTTTTAAATTTGAACGATGTGCAAATCGGTGACCAAATGCAAGCCATTCCTTTTCGATTAGTACTCGAAAACCATCGATGGTACGATAGTATGGATCTAAACATATTTGTGCTAAAGATGTAATGCATGCGGTTACATCCCAACCATCTTCGAGCGCAAGCGTCACACTTGATCCCTGTAAATCGATTAGATCCACAACAGCACCAGATAATTGCAGTAAATTGCGAATTTGTTGCAACCATTCGGACTGTTCCAATAGTTTAGCAAATGTTAGATCTGGTTCATTAGTTTCCGTTGACGGTAAGCAAGCTCGCATTAGTTTTTTAAATGCAAGACGTGATTGTCGAACATCTATATAATCGACGGGTATGAATTCGGTATTTAATTCGGATAGACGTGCCGATTTTGATTGTGATTTTTCACCCAAAATATACATCGGCACACGATGAAACGAATATGAATGCGAATGATTTTTCTCATTAAGATGATCACGTTGTGAATTTGAATGGGATTGCGCCGCTAGACCAGCTCCTGCTTTCAATGAACCCCATTTATTTGGTGTTTTAGTTGCATTTGATTGACCCGATCGGTTGCCAAAATTTGAAAATGATCGCACCGTGTGAAAAGCACCTTGTGAGAATCGCCGACTCGAATCTGGCGTTCGTTCTTGTTTCACAGACAATTGATTATGTTGATAGTAATTTACATCTTCAGCCGCCCACATCAGAGAATTTATCGATAGATTTGAATCGAATAAATCCAATGGATGCCGGATTGCCACTGAATTTGGCATTGTTTCGATGATTTGAATGAAAAATCGATCTTGTTCTTGGAAACCCGTTGAATCGGTTGTAATATTTGTTGAACCAGCCGGATGAGCTTTGAACATACCAATCACGCCTTTCGGATGTGGTAGTGCACCACTGAAATTAATAAATAAAACCCCATTAAATGTCATTCTTAATAAGTGGGAATTGCGTGAGAAAGAGCAATCACTTACCGCAATAGTATTGCACCATTCTTTTGATGTCGCCAAGTTGGAACTGGAATTCGATGATTTTTATAGCATCGTGATAAGCATCTTAATGAATCGTCCGATATGCCATGCGGAGATACAATTATTGCTATCGAGAAGAAAATAAAGTTTTTTGTATTTTTTCAAACAAAAAGTCACAGAAGAAAAGGCAAATATTTGTTCGCAACTCACCTGGATATGATCGACACAAACTATAATTACAATTGACAGAAGAGATGCGATAATTTGAATGAGGTTCGCTAAACCCGAGTCGTTTCCAATCCCTCACATAACTTCGTTCTTTCAAACGTTCAATATCTTTAACTGTAACACGTGGCATCGTATCAACGGCATCGTCTGAATCATCGTCGTCGTTGATATTGTGTAAATGATGCTCTGAATTGCTGTTGGTCAAACTATTGCCACCGTGTTCATTTGTCGGTGATGCATCGTCAAAATCAACGCCAGGCAAAACATATTTCCGCCGTGTAACACCTTTTTGCTTGAAACCAGCCCGTTTTGCAGTCCGAATGAGTGTTTTCTTTGCGAAACCTTTCAACGTTGCATTCTTTTCTTTGACTTTGTGCAATGGTGTGGTGGGAATAATGCCGTGAGATGCGAATGCAAAATGTCCAAATTCATGAGGTGGATGCCGTGCACGATTCAATAATTTTCGAAACGCTTCAATACTTTCAGCTGCAATTTCTTCATCAAATGCAACCTTAATCAATTGAAATGTGCATGAACGCAACTGTAAGCCTTCTGGTAACTCCTGATCCAAGTGCGGCAAGTATAAACGTGTCAAACGTTTCTCTTTGGTCAAACATGACACAGGAAATGATCGAACTACACTCTGTTCACAAGACAGCATATCACACGGTGATCCTCGGAACACAACTGGAAATGAGTGTCAAAATGCATGCTTTAAATAAAACAACAACAAAGTGATAAATGTGTTGAAACTTACTTCTGTAATTTGTTAAAAATAGAGCACCTTCGGCGGGTAAAAGTGATGTCATTACGGAACCATTTTCTTCTCGTCCATCTGGCAATAGATAAACACGCATCGCGTCACCAAGAATTTCTTCTCCCGATAGCAAAAGAGGAGCTTGTATCGTTGGTTTTTTCACGGATGGAATTCTTTTTGATTCTCGGTGTATAGCCTCTAATGTTTCGATGTGCATATGAACAACGCCCGGCACCATAACATGCAAATTTCGTACATGTTCAGCTGTTACACCGCCTTCGGTACAAACGCGATCAATGAATCGGCTCACCATTTTTGTAACAATGTTGCCCGTCTCAAATGGATCACTTTCTTCAAAGCCTTCATCGCCTTCATCACTACGTGCACTTCTCGACTCAACAATACTAGTTGAAACACTTGTATCATCCTCCAAATGATGATCGACCTTTTGTACTTTACCGGAACTAATATCGGTTGGAATCATTAGGGCAACCATTCGATTTGCATAATGAATTGCTTGGCTATACAGTGTTGACTCTTCCGAACTTATGAATTCATTCAATTTGGCCGGATCCATTGCTGGCGAAAGTCTCATTTGTTCAGCTGCTATTTCCAAGGCAGATGGTTCTTGCACACGCGATAAAATTGATGCACGATATTCTTTCAAGTCCCTGAAAATGAACAAGAACACTCATTCAATTAGTCAATTAGTCATTGTTTAAAACACCACCACCATTTTGAAGACTAACCTTGAATTTGATGGGCTGAGACGTGTTCGTGTATATGAATAATTATTTTCAATGATTGAGGAAGACGTTGCATTATTTGCACGTGGCAAATAAAGTGCTTTGATTTGTGTTTGAACATCCTGATAGAATGCGCTCTCCCAAAACTGTTGACTCTTCCAAACCGGATGATCCTGAATGCAGGTGTATGCAAATTGAATAACACCAGTGCACAATTTTCGACAAAATGCAGTCGATAGTGGCAATAAAGAAGCAGCAACACCGTATTCATCCATTAAGGAATCGTCTTGTAATGCTCGATTCATTAATCTGAAAAGAATGTTGATAAAAAAAATAAGAAATTGCATCAAATGATTCCATCGATTTCAATGTTAATCGCTCACTTGATAACTAAATCGAACTGTTGATGGTCCAACATTGCTTTGTTTCCTTGAACGGTTCGTGCCAATTCGCGGCACAATGTCAAGCGAGCATCGCGTTGCTTTAATGTTCGCATAACAGCCGGAAAACTTTTGCGAGCATCGGCGATTTTATTTTCAAAAATGCAATTAACACATGTTTTCAACACCTCCAAACGGCGAGCGGTGTTATTGACAACCGGCCTTCCATCTGAAATACTTTGTAAATGTGGTCCCATTGGTACGATTCTTGGTGAAGAACGTGCCAGTGATTGAAAGTTTCTCGGTTCGATGGTATTATTTTTGGCCAAACCATCATTGATAATCTGTTGCACCAAATTACCATTCAACGGATTCAATATCGGTTGATGAATGCGTGAATATGATCCTTCCGGTGGACGCAACACTTTTTGCATGTAATTTTGAGACGATGAATTTTCATTTGAGTATAGAATCTGTGCTAATTCTTGTATATGAGTCAATACCTGAAAGAAATGAGTGAACAACAATTACGTCATGTAAGTAATGTTTGAATAAAGAAAATGTTGAACCATTCAAACTCACCAATTTTGGATTTTGTAATTCAGTTCTCGTCAAATCGGTAACGGAACTGTACAATTCATCCCACGCATCGCATGCACGCCACTGAAAGAAATGTTTGAATTCAATTAATTATCTTTGTATGTTTTCAAATGTATAATTTCACAAATTAAAAGAATAACGTTTGCTTACCGGTGGACCACGTTCGGTTATAAAACTCGTGAAAAACATACTATCTAAAACGCGCGATAGAAAATCGCAATTGACTAAATCTCTTGCACCAAGAAAACCAGCTTTATGAAAGGTAATCACTGGTTTTGGATGAATGCGTATCAATGTTAAACATGATCGATATCCTTGAAGAAGTTGAGCAAATGTACGCATAAATACGGCACGTATCTCTTTGTCTTGCATCGCAAGATTTTGATCGATCGTTGGTGCCGGCAACGGGAACGCCAAATCAGCTGAATTGAGTTGAGGTTGCAATACCATTGTCAATGACGCATTTGTACTTTCCCAAATTGCATCCGGCAGTACTGAAACTGGTGGCACTAACGATTCGGGAATTCTTATTGAACCACCATCAATGTCGGCCACAATAACATCCATTAAATCAGAAATCTCTGACTGCAACGAACTATGAACACCCATTATGAATGGAGTTGGTGTGGACAAGACTTCGTACAGCGGTGCCGGTAAAATTGGGATGTAAACATGAGTATAACTGAATGAAATAAAGAGTTGATAAAGAAATTGTATGAATTAAATTAATTTTGATAATAATAATAAGAGCGCTAATTTACCGGAATGGATACATGAGTGCGGTTAATGCGCGACAACTTTCGGTTAAACGCGAAAAACTTTTGGAATGAAATAAAATTTTGTGTTCGGTCATAACGGCGCAAAATAATAGCATGACATTTTTGATGCCCAACTGTTGAAACAGCATGCTAACACATGTTCCAGTAACTGGTAATGTCGGTGACAATGGAGGTTGTAATGCTTGCTTATCGCTGGCTCCAATGGAGAAACGCACTTGTGGACCACCCGGTGGTGGGATCTACAACATAAAATACGTAGTGAATGTGAAAAGTATTCAATAACGATCAACGAAATAGATGTACCTGAATGCATCCCAGAATATTTCCAATCAATGTTTCAAGTTGATACGGTAGACATTCAATGAATACCGTATAAATTGTTCCCAGGCAATTCTGCAATGTAAATTAATTAGCCATGAATTAGAAAAGAGAAAACTAAAAACAATTTCATTTCAGCTTGAAACTCACCCGAATTGTTTCGGTATAGTCCAATCGTGATACGAGAACCAAGCACTTCGGAGCATACATGATACTATGATGTGTAATGTTTGATGTTTGTTTAGCATTTGCCTCTTGAATCAATGTGGTCGATGAAAAATTATTAACAACTGCCCCACCAGCCGCTGCAACAGCTGCGGCTGGATTGAGCAGAGTTTGTCTCGGTGAGAAGCTATCCTCTTCTTCTTCGTCAATCGGCTTATTTGGTGTAATGGCAACGGTTTCATTGAAACACAGGCAAGCGCAATAGTGTCGATTAGCATCGATATCGGTTAAAACCGAAACAAAAAACTGTGGTTCCAATCGTTCATTTGATAAGGCCCATCCAAGCGGTTGACAAAACTATAAGTCAACAAAAACAAAAAAGTGTTTTTTTTTTTATTTTGAAATCTAATGCCAAACTGTCATATAATATACCCATTCGATGCCTTCGATGAATGGCGTATCGGGCCAATCTTTTTCTGGAAATCGTTGTAAAATCTTCCCACTTCGTTTGCCCGATCCTAAAATAACCATGAACAAACAAAGAAATTGGAACAAGTGAAAATAAACCGAATACTTTCGATGTACAATAAACGATTAGTGGAAACACTCACGTTCTTTTTCATGATCATATCCGACTATCACAAAGTAATCAGCTAAACGAGACATTATTTGAGGTTGTTTGCTTTTCGAAAGAATGGTTGAACGAAGAAAAAAAAACAACTATGTGTCGTATAATATTTATGTGGGCCCTTAATTAGGCTATTTAGTGTGTATGTTTATTGTCATTACTGTGGTGTTTGTATTGTTATCGGTTTCCATTACGGAATCGACCGCACTTAAAAAAACTCTTTCTTCTTTCTTTTTTTATATCAAAGTTGTAATTTCTTTCTAATCACAATTGTATACAAAAAAATCGTCACAATATTTGATCAATAATGCATTTTCATATGAGCAACTCCACAATTAAAAATATTATATCACTTTTTTCCTTATTGGTTTCAATACGTTGAGTGTGAATGGAAATGCACGAATTTCAATTTTTACAATTTTAAAATGAAATGTCTTATGTTTAATAAAGCATGACAAGTGATTTCTATAGTAACCTGCTGCAGTTGGCGCCTCATCTAGAAAATTTTATGCAATTTTCTTTATTAACTTTCATTGATGTAATCGCGATTCGATTCAATGTTTGTAGCTGTAGTAACAATGCATCAATAAGTAAATATTGATTTGGTCAATTGAATCACGGAAAAAACAAATACTCTCGCTGAATATTTGATATATATTTTTTGTTTGGTATTGCTCGGTGCACAAAAATAACAATACACAGATTGATCTAATGCTATTTTCTCTCCTATCGGTGAACCGCACCCCACTCCAAGTCAAGTAATGAATGCACACAAAAAAAACGGGTGAAGGGATATTACTTTTACCAAATGCAATTTTTTCGCAATTCACTGTTCATATTTTTCATATTTATTTAAAAAAATAATAAAAACTAATAATTTCGTTTGCAATTTTCTAATACCATATATGACAATCGTTGTTCACGTACATTTATCACTTGTGAGCACTAAAGAAACTCGAATGGAACACACAAATGCCAGAAATTCGTTCTTCACTGCGCTCGTTTTCTTTCTTTCTTTCTCCCATTCAATCCATTATATTATTGGTGTGTTCTTCTTCATGATGTGATTAGATTTTGTTTCGGGTAGCTATCGTAGTGTGCGTATAAGTTTTATATTGTATATATAGCTATGAGCATAAACAAACGCCACCAAATTAACTGTCAAACATGACAGTTTGCCTGTTTGTGCATATTACTTGGTTGTCGGCATCACATACACATTCACATACACACACACGCGCACACTTATCTTTCTCTCTCCCTCGACGTACTTTGTGTTTCGAGGTATAAAGTGCACAATATTCCTTTGCTATCACAAATCATACCGATGATGACTGATTTTGACATCACTTTCATGTGATATACATGCCTTTACATGGTGATACACACAGGAATGATTTTGATTTTCGTTTTTCTGCAAATGACTGTGCTTTGGAAATAATTTTTAAACTTCAAATTCGCCATTAAATACATGTTTTTTTTTAAACAGGAAGATTCATATTAAAACCAAATCACATCGATCATCAATATGTTCATGAAATTCAATTTGAAGTTTTCCTTTGATTTTCATTCTTTTTGTTTAACAACATAAATCCATAGCCAATGAGATATTTTCAAATGCCTAATGTAAACCACACTCACAGCTCATTTGTCATTGTTCAGTTGGTCAAACTGTCAACTGCCAAGCGTCAATGACATATGCTGTGTACATAAAACATTCAGTCTACTACTAACGAAATTTAAGCATTCTTTTGTTTGTGTTGTTCTCGTTTCACTTCTATTTTTATTTTGTTGTTTTGTTTTTGATCTTGTTTTCAAATCCAGTTGTATTTGTATAAATTTTTGGTTGAATTTGAAATTGAAATTTTTTTTTGTGCGTGGAAAATTGTTGTAAATTTTATTAATTAAGAAAAGAAGATTCAAATGTGGACATGACGAGCATAACAAAGCATCAATATGATTTTACAAATGGTAAATGCGCAAATAAAGAGAATGTCTTGTCTAACGGAAAACAAAGTGAAGTGACAAAATCATCAAGTGGCATTGACAGCAACTTTGATTGGGCCGAAAAAGAGGCAATTAGCCAACAGAGAAAGTTGCGCTTGATTCAGGTAACATGACGTATTGACTTTCTGCTTATGAATATTTGATTAGAAAGATATGTGTGTGTGACATTTGAAGTGGAAATTGAACAACTATATTTTTAGGTACGCCAACAATCCAAGGAAATTGCTGCTCAAGTGCGAGAAAATGTTCGAAAAGAAGAACAACGTCAAATTGAAAATATAAATCGCATAAAACGCGATGAATTATTGAATTGGCGCCAGAAACAAACGGGAATTGTTGTGAAGAATTACGAAAAATGTTTGGAACAAATTGGTGAAGCACATCTGAACGCGGCCCGTGAAAATGCAAAAGAACGTCAATTTGAAGAGCAAAAGGTGAAAAATCGAAAACTCGCATGCAAACGTGGTAAAATGGCGGCACAAAAACTTAAAGAAGAACAAGCTCTGAAATCAGCAAAACCAACAGTGAATAGAGTGAAACAGAAACAAGTGGTGACCATATCAAAGGCGATTCAAAGTTCACCGGAATCGGATACATCGACAACGTCAACGTCATCAAGTACTAGTACAGATGCATCGGTCATTTTTGTGGAAACCAAAAAGAAACCAGAAGTGAAGGTGAACATTCCAACAAAAATGCCACTTTCACCAAAACGATCGGTGAAAATGAAATCACCTGCACGCACCGAATATAATCCATCGCGATATGCTTCGGCTAATAATAGTACGGCCACCGATATTTCATTTACCGATAGTCCAATGAGTGATGCACCACCATTAATCACCAAAGTTTCTGATTTGTTGGGAAAAAAATCGTCAATTAAAGCCACTTCACTCCGATCAAGTCCACACATTGCAAAAACCTATAAATTGGACAAGAGCCCCGTTACTTGCCGAAATATAACCAGAAAAACGACACAAAAACCACAAATAAATACAGTTTCATCACGTTTGTCTAGAGTTATTAAAACACCATCAAAATCAAGCGGAAAATCACCCATAAAGGTTTTACCAGAAAGGAAGCATTTTGTTCCCGAATTTGTAAAAGCGAAGGCATCATCAAAAACAACCACAGCAAATGCATCGATTCAAACGGCACCACAGCGAACATCAAAGGTGCAATTTTACGATCATGCCAATAAATTTTCAAGACAATATGACGGAAGCATCGATGTAATTGAACGAGTTCAAAACGTAATACCTCTTAGTGCGTGGGAAGAAGCCAAGAAAGACAGCGAAGCCGACATAATCAAAAGAAGTGAATTAATGAACATGAAGTATGTGATCATAAGTGGAATATATTTTACTGCTTTAAAGCAAATTTGAGTAATATGGTTTTGTTTTCAGAATATTGGCCGAAAATCGATCGAAAGTTGCTTTGGAAAAGGAGAAAATCCGTAAAGACTATGATCTAATGTCGATTCAGCTGAAAGAAATATTGGATAATAATGACTTGGTTCACAGTTTTCTAGAGGTAAGTTTCGAAAGATACATTCAAACCAAGACCTTTTTAAAGGAAAAAAAAATCTGACTCAAATGTCTTGAATTCGATTTACTAATAAACAATTTTCTCTTTATAGACCAACGAAATTCTCTCGGAATCCCGACTCAAACAGTTGGCCGAAGAAAAGCAGCAACTGATGAATGACGAATTTTCTAAAGTTCTGAAGCAACCGGCCATAATAACGTGTCCAAAAATTAATTCAAAAACTTCAAAATCTTCAACATCCAATCAGTGTGGCGAAATAAATGTTGCGCAAGCTAAGTCACAAAGTACCACGAAATTGAACGCATTAAAACAATCTCAGAAAAAAGAGAATGCAAAGGAATTACAAAAGGATGACACAACCTCTGAAAATATCTTGGAAAATACTCAACCATTTTTGTTAGATTATGTAAACGAGCGCTCGAATAATCTTTGTGATGATATAAATCGTTGTCGAAATGACCACAAAGATACTGATTTCAATCAAGGAAAACTTGCGGCTTTGCATGATTTACTCAATAAATTCAATACATTTCGGCGTATTTTGTGCGACGAGATTAAAGAAAATAACGGCGATATAAGCCACATCGATGCCGAACGATTCATGAACGAAATTGATAAAGTGGAAGAAAAGAAACAGGAAATAATGAAAGAAAAACCAATGGAAGAAGTATCGAGTAGAAAACAAACAAAGCAGAAACAAAATCGCGAACTTGATTTGAGCAAACGTGAAAAACTGTTGAAAATCAAAGAATCGTGTATTGATGAAAAAGTTCGTGAATTGTTTTTGCGCGAAAAGAAGATCGAAGAACAAAAGAAATGCTCGAAAAAAGAAGATGCAAAAACAAGAAAAGATAAAAAAGCGATTGCCATGGTTACGTCCAATGGAGCAGAATCTATGGAGGACATTCCAGTTCGTATTGTGATCAATGTCAATAAAAATGAGCAAAGTAAGGAGAAAACCACGGAAGTCGTTGTGAACGAACTGAAATGGAGTGAAAAATTGAAAAAAACGTCAACTGAAAGTATTCAAGCTGTGCCAGTATCGAATGGCTGTGGAAAAATTTATCCAAAAACACCAGCTGCCAAAACGAAAATGGTAACCTTAAAAAATTACTTATTAATTATTATTGATTGTTTTGCGATTATTCTTCGATTAGTTTCGATTATCGTCATTAATTGTAATATATGTATTACGTATGAGATTGTCAAATGACGATGATGGAAATTGAATCTATGTGAAATAAAAAGAGAGAGAGAGAGAGTGTGTGTGTGTGGATGAGTGAGTGAGTGAATGATAGATGATTGGGGAACCATTAGAATGTAAGAGAAAACATACGAAAGAAACAAAAGTCACAACAGCATATAACAGATTGCTGACGAAAAATTGAGATTTGGTAGTAGCAGCGGAGAGAACAACACACAAAGAATCAATTTTGTACACACAATAGCATTGCATCGGAACAACGTCACAACGACGACAATATGGCGGCGCAAACGGATAAACGAAAACTGTATCAACAGCAACAAGAAATCACATTCGGGTAACAATTGTCATATTTTGCATAGTAGCCAACGCATTCGCTGTTCAATATCGGCCACTGTCAACGACAAACCGATTTAAATGTGTTGGTGTGTATTTGACTGTGACATTTCAAACCAACAAGCCGGCAACAATTCACATCGTGACGAACCATTGCCAGTGTAAGAACTAAAATTCCTGCGCATAAATTTTCAGTTTGCATTGAAAGTGAAATATCCTATCGAATTGGATTTTTATCGGTTTTTCCAGAAAAAGTGTTCGGTAAGTGTTATTTTAAAATATAATATTAAACAGAATTTTCGAATTTTTTTACAAAAAATTGACTGCATGCTAGAATTAGATTGAGATAGAGAGAAACACATTGA